TAGTAGCATGCAAGTGTATATTAGTATACACCTTTTGATTCTTAATTGCCCTCTGCAAAATGCCTAAGGCTTGTAACATATTTGCAAGGTAAACAGCTTACAAGTTTGCTGTATGAATCATTAGTTAAGTCATGTGATTGGAACACAACCTAAAGGTTCCTTAGGCAACATATAGCAAATCTTAATATTTACTTTTAATAATTTTGTTCTTGCGTGTATATATATATATATATATATATATATATATATATATATATATATATATATATATATATATATATATATATATGTATATATATATATATATATATATATATATATATATATATATATATATATATATATATATATATATATATATATATATATATATATATATATATATATATATATATATATATATATATATATATAAATTAACTTGACGCTTAACTGTCGAAAAAAACTTTCAAGACATTTATGTAAATGTTATTAGACATTTTCCAGATATTAGACAACACCAGAACATTTGTATAAGATATTGCAATTACAAAAGAATATGTTAAAGTAAAAGAATATAAATAAAATAATAGTTAGCTCTATCATCTTGAACAAAATAATCATTGAATAACTTGTATAAGCATTGAATAACAAAATAAACATTGAATAAAAAGGTATTATGTGGTAGGGAAAAGTAAAAAAGTATGTACACTTATAAAAAAAATTGTTCACCTTTCATTTTTCATGTTCACATTCAAGAAATATTTTTAATATTTATTAATTATACAACTAATATTTATCAGTATAAAACTGATAGATGTTAGCTGAATCATTATTATTTTACTTTAGAGTCAATAGTTGTAAAATAACTTGAATAAAACCATGTCTGTTTTCATTTATACCATATTTACATATAAACAATCAACATGTATGTGATGCTGTTATTTAGTCTAAAACACTAAATAATTTAATGTAAAACTGCAAATAACTAGTTCTCCAAATATAACCAAATATCTAGTGTTTTTTAAAGTCAGAGATAGCTTTTTCAAACCTTCACAAAGTGTAATTAAAGTTAGCAAAGCAACAGAACAAAACATTGTTATTAAATGATATCAATTTTAATAAAGTATTGCATAGTTGATGATATTTCAGTTGTGGAACAATATAAACATGTCTTCAGAATTTCAAAAATTAGAAAATCATTTACAAAAATGTTTGATACAATGTTTTATACTTGTAAAGTTACTTTCCAGCTACTATTGATAAGTAAGGTCGCATCAAGTTGTTAAAATAAACACCCAAAAGTAACCAGATCAAATATTAATTTGTCTTTCAGAAAAGTTTTATTTAGAATATCATGAATTCAATAAATTTAACAAGTTCATAGAAAGCGATTTTTATTTTATTATTTTTTTTTTATTATTAATTTTTATTTTTATTATTAATTTTTATTATTAATTTTATTATAATTTTTATTATTAATTTTTTATTATTGATTTTTATTATTAATTTAATATTAATTTTATTATTTTATTATTTATATAAATTTCATTATTTCTTTATAGCGATATTTCTCTTCGTCGTTAATGTTTTGCGTGTTTTTGATTCCCTTTTATAATTTTTACACCTTCAAACATTTTAAATATAATAATATCATTGAAATATGTGACTTCGTCGAGTAGATATAAACGAAGTAAAAAGGTACATCTTCAAGCGCAATCACTGTATTTTCGGTATTCTGGGGCTTTCCAATATGGCGGCCGTACAAAATATTGGCTTAACTTTTGATAATAGAGATGCGCTACCCAGTTATTATAGAGATCAGTGATTATATTGGGCAAAACACTCAATATATCATATAATAAAAAGAGTTAGTTCCCGACATAATTCCTGTTAATTTTGCTAAAGCATTCATTTAAATTTGTTATTTCTTTTGATAATATCATCAAACAGGGTTAGTTCTTGTGCTGCGTAATTATGTTCTAGTATATGTAAAAGGCGACACAAAATCCTTCCATGAATTTCCTATTAAAAGTTGATTGTGGCTTTGAAACGTGAAAATTTGATTGCTACAATAATTACAAGTAATACAAGTAATTAATTTCTGATTCTAATTAGAATCAGAAATTAATTACTGTATTCCAGATAAAAAATATTGCAAGTGTTGATCATCATTATATACCAATTTTAAAATTGAATGCTGTGCCATTAGTTTTTATATTTTCTGTAAATACACATAAGCCAAAATAGAAACTCCCAACAATACGAACACACCAACAATTAATCTTTTATCACAAAAAAAATTGATGTCTATCCTGCTATAAATGACACCAACAAAGAAATAAATTTAAAAAATAATTATCAGCCAGAAAACACATCTCATAGACTATGAAATCATTTCATAGTCTATGAGATGTGTTTTCTGGCTGATAACTATGGCATAGTACTGACCAAACTAATCAATATTTAACACTATCTGTTTTATATATATCACCAACAAAAAGAAATAATAAAAAAAAGTCAAAGCTTTACAGCAAAAGTTAAGAAGAAATGAAAAAACAATAGTTCTTTAAAAGACACGGTTTTCCATTTATAATCTAAAAATTATTTGACTACAGATGCTGCAACTGTTTTAAGCGAAAATTTTTCTGAACTTTTATATAAAATCATTATTAGTCAATTTCTCAATCAAAATGTTGAACTAAAAGGTCACAGATACAATGATGAAGTAAAAAAATTGGCTTTAACTCTTCATTTTTAATCGCCTCATGCATAAAACTCTCTTTAACCAAAGTTGTGTCTTCCTGCTGCCAGTTTAATATCACATTGGACATCATCTGTAAATTGTGACCCTGGTTTATTCCATGATGTTTTTGCCTATCTTGGTAATAAACAGAAAACAGATGTAAACTTTAAATATTGTGCCCTCATTATTGATGCTATGACAATCAAAAACAGTATAACTTATGACAAAAGTTCAGGTCACTATATAGGTTTTTGTGATTTCGGCAAGGATATTTTTGCAATACTTCTGATACTCCAGCTACTAAGTTTTCATGTTAGTTGGTTTGCGAGGACACTGGAAAACAACTATTGATTATGTTTTATCAAATAAAGTTAAAGCAAGTGATTTAACATGCTTTATCGAATACATTTTGAATTAAGCTTTGACATATGAACTTTATATCAAAAATTTGATGGAACAAGTACCAATTTATATTCTGCTATCCCCTTTGGATGCCAGTTTGACAAAGACATTGACAATATATTCGGTACTTTTTCATATAACAACCAACTGATACACATTTTCCTTGATCCATGTCAGATGCTTAAATTAGCAAGAAATTCTCTTAATGATTTGGTTGTTTTAATTGATGGTGATGACCAATATATTAAATGGAGTTTCATTAAAGCTTGTTCGAATTACCAGAGTTTGAAGGTTTGAAATTTGCAAACACACTTTCAAGAAAACATATAGAATTTCATCGATAACATAATGAATGTGGAAATGGCTGCAAAACTTTTAGCAGTTCTGTTGCTGATGCAATTGAACTTTTAATGGTATCTCAACATCCATCATTCTTGGAAGCATATGATACAATCTGTTTTATTCGAGTCGTTGACAAATTATTTAACATGCTCAATTCAAAAAATACAAATAGTAAAAACTTTAAACAACCTTTATATCTTCATGATCAACTTTTTTGTAAAGATTTTAATTTTAATGATACAATTACTTATCTGAGCTGATAAAATTTATCTGTTGACTGTTAAAAATTGCATTCCTTTACTTTTACATATAAGAAAGATATTTGTTTTAGGTTTAATTATGGTTGCTAAAAGCACTGAAAAGTTATCCACCGATCTGCTGACACTTCGAGAGAAACCATTTAAGTAAGTTTTAACTTACAAGTATTCCCAAGATTATCTTGAACTACTATTTGATTGCATTCGTTGTAAAAATGGTTACAATATAAATCCTGATGTAGCACAGTTAAAGTCATCTTTAAAATGAATTCTGCTAAGAAATTCCATAGTTAGATCAAATCATGCAAACTGCTTAATGTTTAAACCCTACTCTAACAGTTCTATTTTTTCTCTTAATTGAAGCAAAAGTTAGTGTTCTATTAATAATTTTGATCCAAATGATATTGACTTAAAAGAATTTTCTTTTTATTGTGATGAACTTTAAGTAACTAGCTACAAAGAAGCAATACTGGGATATACCTTTGATTTTATAATCAGAAAGTTGATAAACACGAATCCTTGTAATATTTCTGCCCAATCATTAACTGAAATTTTATCATACGAACATTCCCATGTGAAATCTTATTTTTCGTAAAATAATGCAAAAAATTATGGTGATTTGTTTTTGTCATCAAAGGATATTATTTTATTTGAAGAGACATGTGAAAAAATATTTAATTCTTCATAAGTGCTAAAGATTTGAAAAAACCGAAAATCACCTCTGACCGAGTATAAAGCAAAAAATGATTCATTCTGTTAACAAATTAATCATGATTTATAAAATATTTAGAGGACTTGATAACCATGATAAGAATACAATCTAGTCAGCTTGTTAAAAAAAAATAAGTGAATGTTGCTTTAAAATTTGATTGTTCAGATATGCCTAGGATTATACCACTAAAGTGCTAAAAAAGTAACAATTGGATTAAGACAACAAACAAATAAATTACTTAATAAATTAATTAAATGAGCTACAAATAAATTCAGTCAGTACAAATAAAGTATATGACTAAAAATGTTGGGTGCCCAAGATTCTGAATGGTAAAGAAATTTTATGAATTTATGAAAACCGCTAAAAACATTTTTGCCGCAGCGGTAGCGATGGTTCTGGTGATGCTGATGATGAGGATGATGATAATGATGATGATGATCATCATCATCGTCATCATCATGATATCAAATTTAGTCTATTAGTACAAGTTTTGCATGTGTACCAAAGTACACATGTAAATATTTTTTTGTTTTAAATTTTTTTTATATTTGGTTTCATTTAGAAAAAATACAAGATGCAAAAAATGTTATTGTTGATAAAAAACCACTTGATATTGCCACTATAATTGATGAACCATTTGGTAAATTTTATTATTTTTAATGTTTAATTAAATCTTATTAAAACTAATCATTTTTAATTAATAAATATTTATATATATCTTTTTTTATTTATTTACTTATGATAAAATGTTTGTACTCTTACTTATGATACTTTGATTTATTACTTACTTATGATTACTTATGATAAATGTTTGTACTTATGATAAAATGTTTGTCTGACAATTCTGCATTAAATTGTTTACTTTGTAACACAAAGGTTCTACAATGTGTAGAACAGATAGTAAACATAAAAAACAAAATTGAAAAAAAAAATGTACACTTTTTATTTTGGTGATGGATGATTTGATTGTTTTAGATTTTGTTTACATTTAGTTTTTAGTTGTCTGGTTTTATTGTAGAATACTTAACAATGTATGCTGGAATTTGTTTATAAGTATCTATGTCAGATATGGAATTAAAATGTATATTTTATAAAATAAAAGTAGAGGTTAGCAAACTTTATGCCCACAACACCAAACTAATAGCAATCATCAAAGAGCCTACTTACCTGTAGCAATTACAAATCAACATTATTAGAGTAGTCAGCGACTATGTTTTACAGTTGATTATTCAACTGTTTTTGTTTACAATTGTTTTATGTGGAGTAACATAGTAGCTATTTTAAACTTGTATGTTGTTCTAAACTGTATTCTAAAACGCACATTTAAACATTTGTTGCTTGAAACTTTTTGCACCATTTACTGCTTTTTTTTTCTAAATGCATTTTGAGTGTTTCTCAGTTATATGGAAAAGTAAAAAAAATTTTTAAATTGATCTAAAATGAACCACAAAATTTGTCAATTTGTTCTCTTTAAACTAAGAATTTCAAGGACTGCTGCTTGGCTATTGGTATTGAATCACTTGTACATTTATGAAAAAGGTTTGATTTATTGGTTTTTTTTTCTTCTCCTTGAAATTCTTTGTAGCATTTTTAATCCTGAAAATGCCACAAAAAATTTCTATGCAGTATAATTCCTTTGAACCATTCCCAGGGTTTAAGTCAGTATGAGTTGTATGATATCTATAGTATATCTATAGTAGATCTGTTGCAAGTATCTATAGTATTGAAACATCTACTCACATTACCAATATTGTTTTCCGAAATTCTTTTTTAAAATGATAAACCTTTATAAATTAATTAACATTAAACATAAATTTGACGTCGGCAAAAATATTTTGGACAATCTGGCAATGATTTCCATTGAAATTAAAGTTGCTACTAATTATTGAAGACATATATTATAGCAGTTACATATATTATTGCTCAAAAAGTATTTTTAAGATAAACTACTTATAAATTTTTTTAAAAGTAAGTTTGTGAAGGGGTTATGGCAATTAAATGTTTTTAAATTACATAAAATCACCTTTACATTTTTTAAATAAATGTGTCAAAATTAGATAGTAGAATTGGATTGTAAATGATGTTATTGAATAAGAATCAGTAATGAATGTAAAAACTATTTAGTAGAAGGAATAAAATTTTTCAACTCAGGGGGAGGGGAACTATTACTCAAGCTCTGCACATTGGATCAAAGCGTGCCAAAAAAAATTGTATTTAATGTAAGTTTAATCGTAATAGTTGTTTTCCATACTTACAAAGTTTTAATAAAATGATATTTGTTAGTCATTAGCTTTTAAACTAAAGTCTATACAACCAAAAGTTTGCACTCAAAAAACTTTGTATGCTTTTTGAGTGCAAATTAAAGTCTATACAACCAAAAATTTGCACTCAAAAAACTTTGTATGCTTTTTGAGTGCAAATCTTTTATATTCTTCAGTTAATTTAAAAAACCTCCAAAAATTTCCAGTCAGAAAATACTTAAAATCTTTATTAAGATTTTAAAGTATTTTCAATACTGGAGGTATAAATAAAGTATTATTATATATATACATATATGATAATTTATAGTTAGTTTGAGCCTCAACAAAGTACCATCTTGTCTAAAACATAACTTTTAGAGAGCAGAGTATAACTAAAATTTTGCCCGCGACTAACAAATCTCAATTGTTTTTCACAGGTTTTTCAATTGTTTTTAAAATGTAATTTCTTTTCTTAGCTAAAACTGTATATTCTTTTTAAATAAAAGTAAAACACACCATATTTGAAAATTAATATCTAAAATACTGTTATCTAAATGATTCCTAATAAGTGTATTTTTGAATTTATAAGTTAAAATGAAATATGTTGATATCAATAACTAAATGTTAGAAAACAAATTAAGAATCTCCGACCATGGGGTTTTAAAAGATGTTAATAATGGTATGATTCTGGTGAACACTAACCATAAGCTGAAAACATTACTAATAGATATGCTTGAAAGGTATTCATATTTGTTTTTAAATAAAGCATGTGAAGTGGTTACAAACATATATTGATGATTTTACTGGTTTGCCTTTAAAATACGGATACACAAGGCAGGCCTTTAATTGAAAATTTTGATGGCTGTGTACTTCAAACATGCATCAAAATTATCTTGAATACCCAAATAAAATAGGGATAAATTTGTGGCAAAGTTTGCCACACTGTGCAAAGACTGTGTAAAGTACAGAATGAAGTCATTGAAACAGTTATTGATGTTAAATGACAAAGTAGGATTTAATGGCTCCACTGAACAAAGTGTTTAGAAGCAAACAGTGTCTGAAGATTGTATTCGAAACTTAAAAAAAAGAAGAGTCATTGTTTTTAACATGTGTAGTACCACTTGACTTGAGCACATTTGGTGGTTGGAAAAAGAGAACCTTATGGCAAAACCATAAACTATCATTAACTCTGTATTGTCGCCCTTTGCGCTTTCAATTTGAAAAAGAGTATAAAGATATATTAATCACTGAAAAAGCTCAACTAAAAGAAGAAATTAGCAATTTAAATAGCACAAAAATTGTTGTTAGAAAATGGAAAATAACTAGTAGAGTAAGTAAAGCATGTCATTGAAATAACAACGATTGATGAAAAGTACACTCAGCTTTGTGTGAGGCCATTAACTCAAGCCAGTGTTGTTCTGTTTGTAGATTCTCACAAAAAGACATGAATAACTTTGATGTTAGCCTGGAAAAAATTTACCAGGCAAAAGTCTTGCAGTATGCAAGCCTTTTGTCTAGGTAATTTTTTATCTACACTGCATTGCTGGATTAGATGTTTTGAGCGTTTTCTACATCTAGGATACAAGTTACTTATCGAAAATTGGCATGCAAGAACTGGAAAAGACAATGCACAAGTTGCTGAAACTCAAATTTAAGAAACTTTTCTTCAGCAATTGGTTCTTTTTGTTGATAAACCAAAGTCTTCAGGATCTGGTACATGCAATGACAGCAACACTTTTCGAGATGGTTTTAATGATGCCAACTCTTTTGCAAATATTAATGGTGTCAACAAAAATCTAATTTTAAGATTGCAATTGTTTTGCTGAGCATAACCATAAGTGGCCATGAAATCAATACATAGAAGTTTACCATGATGTGCACACAAAAAGCAAAGTTGTTTGTGGGGCTTTATCCATGGTACTACATAGCTTTACCCATAGTACTACATAGGTACCACAAAGCCTCCACAAACTGCTAATCCATGGCCTACCCATTAATATTAGAATGTCCTAGAAGCACAGGAGGCAAGCAATAAATTTTTCAAGCAGTTTTGTGAACGCCATGCTCAAAAATCTTCAAGATGTATGGCAAATGAGGATGTTTTGAAAAGATCTCTGTGCTCATCTGATCATATAATGATGCTTATATGATCTGATTATCATAGCATTATTGAGGCAAACTGGCTCATCCAAAAAGAAAGATTTTCCTATCGATGTTTTGGAGTTATTAATGCCAGGAGATATCATTGTAAACTTATGAATTATATCATTTGAATATATGCAGAAATTGATAGCATCCATAAAGTTGTAAATTGTGTATGAATTGAGTTGGTAAGATATGAAAGTATATTTTTTCACGAAAGAGTTCTATTAAAAATAATATGCTGGTATTTTTAAATATGTGTTATGTGAATTGTGCTTGAATTTAATTTGTTAAGATGTGAAAAAAATATTTTTATTTTAAATTCTTTTATTGAATTTTTTATTATTAAAAAAATGCAATTAAATTTTTTTTTCTTTTAATCAAAAATATATTTAGAAGCTGCAAATATAATATTTAAAATTAGATTAGTGATATTTAAAACGAAAAAAATTATGGCACAAAAGTGGGCAATCTGACCCACTGTGCTCTGGAGTAATAATGACTCACTTGACTAAAAATACCGTACAACATAAAACAATAAAATTAAACGATAGTTCAAATGATATTTAAAATAATTAGAAAATGCATACCTTTCTTCTTCCATGGTTTGAACTCTGAATCTTTCGTTTATGATGCATGGCGCTAATCCTCCAAGCTATAGTGTTGGTATGTGTGTATTAAAAAAACAGGAATAAATAAAAAACTTAAAACCTCCTGTGTCACAGCAGCAGTAATGAAGAAATGAATATTATTAATATTAAAAATATATAATACAAACCTTACAATGGGTTAAAAATGATATTGTTTTATTTACAACATAGCATGAAGCTTGTTACAAGGTTATGGTTTTATTTTTTATCTGAAATTTTAATTTCCTAATTTAGAAAAGCAGTATTAATTAAAAAGAAACTGTTAATTTGATCAAATTATTGTTTTTATTTTGTAAATACTTATTGAACTTTTGTAATAAAGATCAAATAATCAAGTGATACATCAAGTAAATGGAAGTCAATGGAGTATCAGTAAATAAAATACATGCTATAGTATACAAATGTTGTTTAAGTAACAAAATTGAATACCCTTTTTAATGAACAACAAAAGTGTTGTTCATTAAAAGGGTAAACAAATCTTTTTTTTTCCAACAGGAAGACCTTGGTTTAGGAATATTACAAATTTTTGAGTTATTTGTTAAAAAACAAATTTCAGCAATAGAGATTTATTTAACTTTGGCAAATAGATCTGTTCCCAGTCCTGTTGC